GGGCAAACACCGCTCTCGTGGGCTGCGGAAAACGGCAGAACGGAAGCAGTTAAGCTCCTCTTGGAACGAGTCGATGTTGACCCCAATTTGGCCGACAATTTTAATCGGACGCCGCTCTCGTGGGCGGCAGAGCACGGGGGAACAGAACCAGTTAAGCTCCTCTTGGAACGAGCCGACGCTGATCCAAATTTGGCCGACAATCTTAAACGGACACTGCTCTCGAGGGCGGCGGAGAAGGGGAGAATAGAAGTAGTTAAGCTCCTCTTGGAACGAGTCGATGTTGACCCCAATTTGGCCGACAATTTTAAACGGACACCGCTCTTGTGGGCGGTGGAAAACGGGAGAACAGAAGCAGTTAAGCTCCTCTTGGAGCGAGCCGATGTTGATCCCAATTTGGCCGACAATGATGGGCGAACCCCGCTCTTGTGGACCGCGGAAACGGGGAGAACCGAAGTAGTTCAGCTCCTCTTGAAACGAAGCGATACCGATCCAATTATTGCCGACAACGAAGGTCTAACCCCACTTAAGTGGGCCACCCGAAATCGCCATCATAAAATAGTTGGGCAACTGTTAGTAAACCGACCTAGCACCATTCTGCAAACTATCTGGCGGACTGAGCGCCATTAAGAGTTTACAATAGCGCCGCTTGCTTCCTACTGCTGACATCTCCGTACCTTCTACATGAGGGTTTGTCGCCCATACCATATAACTTTGGGGCTCCTTGAATTCATGGCCCTTCTCTGCGGTTGCATTTCTTGAGTTTGGCTGGACAAGAGTGATGGAGGATAACGATGACCGGGTCATGGCCCCCTATCACTGATCGCGATCGTGGGTTTCGTAAATTTACCTCTGGAAGAAAGTCATGGACCTGTTTTCTCGCCTTTTTCTCTCACTTCCCTTACTTTTCGTTCCTCCCCCCTCGTTATGTCTGGCTATCTCTTTCTATCCGTAGTTACTCCTCTTCATTGGCTCACTTCTACGATATGTTTAATTTTTTATCCTACCGCGTCTCTTTTTTCGCTCTCGAAAAGCGGCCCTCCCATTTTCAATTTATTCTAAAATGACAGCACTTTCCCACGCCATCCCCCACTCCTTTGCATGATCCCATTCTCATTGTGTATTGTGTGGTATCTGCCGGGTATGATTTTGGACTTTAGAAATTCGAATTGACCAATCCTGCCCCTCCCTATGATACTCGTAGGTCGTCACAACACCAGCTCGGAAAACAACCCTTGGCCATCTATCCTGTGATAACCCTCAAACCCTAACCCTAAAATATCAGAGGATTATCTCGTCCAGTGACATTGTCGCATTGTGTCTCTCGTCGGCAGTTTACGATATCCTATCGGATCATGCCGCCGGTGGGAGTAGGGGGCCACTTGTTCATCCTAAATATTTGACCTTGCAGAATCAAGCAACTGGGGGTGAAAGTTTTCAAATCAGTGCGTCTTGTAAGAACTATTCCCCCATACCCCTGCGGAAAGCCAGTCCGCAGAGCTAGTTTCCGTGGCGAGTATTAGAAAAGGTATATCAAAGAATGGAGAAGTGCGGGGCTGGGAATAAAGGAAGGAAAAGAGAGAATGTGAGCGGACCCCGCCCCGAGCTGGAAGAGATGATAGACTAAATAGTTGGTTAGTTTATTGTATAGCCTAGTTCTGTGGATAATTCTAGTTGTTAGAATCGAGCTACTTCTCATCCCGCCCATCCTGATAATGCCAGCAGCGAAACCAACAAAGGACGATGTGATAGCTTCCTTGCAGGAAGATGCAACACTATGCAGTATTCCTCCTGGCTGGGTTCGGGTGGAGTTGGTGGATGTTTTCCCTCCTCGGTGGTCCGTTTGCATTCTAATGAGTAGCAGGTTACGATTCTTACGACTTCCAGTCTCCTGGAGGGGTGAAAGGTGAAATATTTAGGGGCGCAGGGGAAACTCTTTATTTATCTTGAAATTAATGACATGATGGAGGGCGAGGCGGCTGAGGGAGAAGATAAAATAGAGATAAAAGAGAATAGATGTTTCTTGATGCTCGTATTGCTTGTCCTACTTTTTGCTATCTGGGGGATAGTACGGGGTTCATATAGACAGTCCTAGATACAACTCCCAACTAATATCTCTTCCACCCGTATACCCACAGATGTGGCATTTCACATGAGTCCGAGGCCCTTCTAGCAATTTTCCCATCCTCCGAGGTCGATGCTACCTAGAGTCCCGCATAGGCAAATCCCGAGATCATCCCAATCCACCGAAGACTTCCGAAGATCACCGAAGACTACCGAAGACCTCCGAAGACTACCGAAGACCTCCGAAGACCACCTATAACCCCATGAAACATAATATGAGACGACACTAAGGAACTAGTACATGAGAAACACAACACACCGTAGCTACGGCATCGACAACTAAATCTTCGCTTTCTGAGATCCGGAACACTTCTTCAAGAATGAGTACTAGTGATTTTCAACAGAAATAACGTAAAAAAAGGTTATACTCATTGGACTCCACCCTGAGAGGGTAGGAATTTCCCCCCGGATGCGGGGGAGGCCAAGAATTGGGCTTCCAGCCTTCGGGTGAGAGTTAAGGAGGGAATATATGGCTGACCTTAGCCCGGAACGGCAAGCCAACTGCCCATTGTGAAGTTGAATTATTCGAGCTCCTACTCTATCTTTCTAATCGAAAGGCCGCGTTGTCAGGCACCGTAAGAATTGTACGAAGTTAGGCCGTCCAGGGTAGTGGTAGGGTCGGAGTACACCGGACCTTATTTTTGCAAAACCATGACAGTGCTTTTTCATGGTTGTTTTGGAGGAGTTTGGGGACGGACATTGTTTGAATGCGATGTGCATGAGTAGTGTGGCTATTTACATGCGGTGCTCGTGCACGAGAGTTTGATATGGTCTAATGGACCCAGAAAACCCTAACCCTCCGCTATGGTGGAGACACCGATAGCATCGAATTTCCCCGCATTAAACGAATATCCATCAGCTTTATCACCGGTATGATACGGTAAATCATTTCTAGTCTCGCGGGTCTTCCTAGGGCCTAACCACCGGGACCGGTAGTGCTATCTGGGAACGCCTATCGGGGATGACCAACCTACCGCGCTGCCTCAACCCCCATACCGCAGTGCGAGAACTGGGCTAGAGCAATGCAATTCTTCCTTGGGAGTATTTACCAAAATGTATAGTATTCTAGAATTAGGCGATATAATTTCACAGCCACAGGACCTAAGTAGATAGTACGATGCGGTAGTCCGGTGCTGCTACTGTAATCGGAAAGAAAGCGATAGCACAGTGCTGTGGTGGTACGGTTATTACTCGTAAACCTTCTTCTCCAGAAGGAATCGGAGGGCTATCCGGTGTGCTAGTGTACGGCATAAGCAAATTTTGGCAGTGAAGCGCTTCGCTCCCATGGATACTTTTCTCCCACGATTTTCACTCCGTTCGGTCTCGATCGTGTCTCGGTGATTGGAAGGTAGTGGTGAAAGACTCGCTCTTGTTTTAGGATACCAGAAGCTTACCCGGTGGTTTGTCCGCTCCTTCTGTTGTCGGAAACATCCAAGCTGAAAGTTGTCAGCCTGGGAGCTCCTTGCGCCGAAGTGGGTGCTTGAAGGGCGCTGCTACAGTACTCGTAGACCGTGTGAGCCCTCCGCTAGGCAAACACCCGCAGCGAGGCGCGGCGCGGCTTGGCTCCCTACTGCGGTGGGCCGTAGGTAGCCTTGCTGCCAAATATTGCCAAGCCTGGCTGAGGGCTCACATGGCTTAGCCATTAACTCTGGCAAATGGTGCTGCCATCGGGATGGGTCTTTAGGCTACGAGTACTTTCCCTCGGCATATCTAAAATTTTGAACGCAGAGTGTGATTTAACGGAGGGGACAGTGGTCTGGTGTCCGCTGATGGGTGACCGATCGGTTTCCTTCACGATCATGTCATACACAGTGGGGGATAGGATGAAGGTATCCAGCTTCGGCTACCTTGGTGTTTGTGATCGGGAAATGGGAGGTGGGGGTTTACCCGGCGGTACTGTCGGTGTCACGATTGTGTTCAGTAATCCCACCGTTGCCGATTTCAAGGACTCCCGCAGAATTCTGCTTTCGAAGGGCCTGAACTATGCCAAGATAGTTAGCTGGAGACTCGTAATCGAGGGGGGTTTGTGAAAACAACTGCTACTATATTAAAATTTACATGCCGCCAGGATACAGGCATTTCGCTTCGGTCCACCGGTAAGGTGTGGTCCGGCTGCAGGTGCTGATTTATTTTTCATGTCTCAGCGAGGCTGAAGAGCATGCATTTGGCTATGTTCACTCTGTCGCGGAGGGGTGAATTTCCGGGAAAATGACTCATCCTCCAACTATTCGAGCTTCGGTGGTGCCACAGCCCCCCGAACTTAGGTATATACATACTCGAGTGGTAGCCGGCCTCCAGAAATTCTTGATCCTCCTCCCGCATCCGATAACGACTATACACTTACGCAAACAGCTCCTAGCAGTCAATAGTTTCAACAACACTTGGAATAACTGGACTATGGTATCACCACCGGATAGGAAACGAGAGATACTGGAGTGGCTATCTTCGCTAGAGTCGCATGGAAGCCAACAAGACAAAAGACACCAGGACGTTCGACACAGCAGGGTCGATGGTATTGGAGAATGGCTTTTGCAAACCGGCCAATTTTTGAAGTGGCGGGATTGCGAGGATGGGTCTGTCGATCCGACTTTGTTGTGCTGTGGGGGACCGGGGGTAGGAAAGACCTATCTCAGGTAAGGGTAAACGAATTCTCGGGAGAAAGACGCGTCGCTAACAATATCAGTTCCGTAGTGATTGATAGGTTGTGCTATAGGAGCGATGAAAGCAGTGCCTCTGTCGCCTACATTTATTGCAATTTCCAGACCCAAAAATCGCAAGTAACGGCACATATGCTTGGTAGCCTTCTCAAGCAGGTAGTGTGTGGGTTAGAAGATATTCCGGCTGAGATGGATAGTGCGTTTCAGAAGGCGAAGCGAGGTCAAGACGGTCGTGGGCTTACGGTTTCCGAATTTCTTAAGCTACTCCGGACTGCCCTCAAGTTCCGGAAACGGACTTTTGTATGCATCGATGCGCTTGACGAATGCGCGGAAGAGCATCGGCCGGAACTGTTTCGCTCACTACGCTCCATGGTCGGTGATTCGCCAAATGTCCGACTATTTGCTACGGGAAGGCCTCATATTCAGGCAGAGCTCGAGGAACACTACAGCAGCGCTCTACAGATCATACTGGTCAAACCGGCGCAAGGGGATATCCGACGATTCCTAGAGACGCGATTGCGGGATGATCCGTTTCACGAGGAGATGGACAGTGAACTCAAGCGGGATATCACGAAAGTGATTCCGGAAATGATACCGGAGATGTATGTCCATGAGACTGTTGATTGGCGGATCATGAAGCACTGACGGTTGATAGATTTCTGCTCGTTTCACTAAATA